CCTCCTGCCAACCCCGTAGCCAAACCAAAGAAACCAAACAATTCCTACAAAATCCAGCATGTAAGGCCCAAATAAGTCCAACCAGGAGGTCACAACCCACTATCCACATAGGTGGCCATCTGCCAGCCAGGCCACCGGGGAGCTTTGCAGCACTCAGCAGCTTCACCCAACACCTCCAGCCGGACTGGAAATACTTAATTAGACCTCGCCCAACCTGACACAGGCCCGACCAGTACTTGCAGGTGCCTCTCCTCCCCCATTCAGCCCCCCCCAAGCCCCACACACCGGACGCCGCGGAGCCCATCCAGCTCCCCAATCACTCGGACAGATCAACCATCTGACACCCACAGGACAGCCTATACCCAGCCCCATCAGGCAGCCAGTGGTCTTAGCCGCGCTAACAGAGCCCCAACCCCCAATATTGTATAGCCGAGGGGTGACCTACCAGGCACAGCCGGGTGCCACAAAGGAGGTAGTACCAATACCCGAAGGCATCGGCACCAGCCACACCATCCAACCTAGCTGAACCGAAGTCCAACCAAGCTGGGAAAGAGTAAGCAGAGCTAGCCGAAGCCAGCCCCACAGGTCTGGAGATAGGAACAGACCGAACAATAGGCAAGAGGCACCCCCAACTGATGCGACATAAACAGAGAGGGCGCACAAACATGAGCACATAACCAGAAGGTAGGCCCTACTTGCAATGGGTGAAGCCGCCAACCACAATCCGAAACTGAACTACTCAAATATACAGACAACACAAGTGTATGGCAGCCAATCGTTCCACGCCACCCCGGGTAGCAACAATAACCACACCAGGGGGTAAGAGTTTTCAGGGTTAAAGCCATCTCAACCGAAGCAAGAAGGAGACACCAAACTGAACCACAGTAAAATTCCGCAAGAACAAACTTCCAAGGGAATGGTGATAAACAACATCATAGGATTCCGGCTGTAGAAACGTAATGTAACAAGGAAAGGCCAGGTGGGTACCACCCTGCCACCTGAGGAATGATGCAGCCGGTACGATGTGTTGAACTTGGGAAGGTAATCAGTCTAACCCAAGGGCGTTTTGTATTGTGAAAACTAAGGACTCTGTTAAAACCCAACAAGAAACATGAGCTGGCCCAAAGAATGAGACAGGTGATCCCCTCAAACACGATGTTCAATCCCCACAATCGAACGCGAAACCTGTGACTAGACGATAGACAGGAAGCCGAAGGCATTTTACAGAAAGGGGCTCGTAAGTGACCGTGATGAATAGCTCGAAGTGCCAGTATCATGAGATAACCAGCAAGCAACGAAACGAGAAGCAAACAAGTAATCCGCCACGTAACACCTAACAGACCTCAACACCAAGAACCCCAGGAACTACTGAGTGAACTCAAATATCTCCCCCAGAATCTGAGGCATCAAGGCCCATTATGAGTGCGAAAGAAACACTTGAGGCGAAGTGACGACAAGAAGGAGAAAAAGTACTTAGAACAAAGCATGAAGAACCTATTCTTTTCGGCCGCATCGGCCTCCTTATATAGTGTTCTTCCCGCCAATAGTCATGTGACCCAAAGTAGTCATATGTGTGAAACCAAATGATAACAAACTAGTCATGTGACCAAGATGGTCACATGCTCAAAACCCATGACCTTATAGCGAGGTCATGTGCAAAAACTCATAAACCAATCATAACACAATAAACAAATCATATGACTCGACTGAGTCATATGCGTGAAACCGATGACCTCATAATAAGGTCATGTGCGAAATATAAATCATATGTGTAAGGCATACTTGCAAGGCAAACTCGCAAGGCATACTCATTAGGTACACTTCCCATGACTCTTATTTGAGCCATGTGTGAAAGCATCACAAATCCTACACATAACAAATCATATGACTCGAATGAGTTATATGTGTGAAACAATAACATACCTGTGACTCATAACTATGTGTTACATGAAAACCTTTTCCTCGCCAAGCCACATTCGTAACACTATGTATGGTACCACTATCTTGTCATAATCATTGAATTACTACAACTCTAGGTTACCGACTTCAACCCATGTATACTCACCTTAAAAGACATCTTCTCTTGTCTATATGTTGACAATATTCTAATAACTGACAAGCTGAAACTAGTTGAACAATGTGTTAACAAATTCAAAATCCACTTCAAGTGTACCAACTCTGGACAAGTGTCTTTACCACTCAGAATGCAAATCAAAATCTTACGAGACTATATTAAAATCTATCAGGACAGGTACTTTTCTGAGATTCTTGTAAAATACAAGTTAGTCAATATAAATTGATCCACTATTGTGATTAAGCCACACAGTATACTTATGAAAGCAATTGATGATTCCAATCTCTGTGACCAAGGTACCTATAATTTCATAATAGGAGCCCTAATCTATGCCTCTGTCGCTACAAGACCAGACATCACTCATGCTACTATCTTTCTTAACCAATTCTTCTCCAAACTTACCAATATACAATTGAAAGCAGCCAAACAAATATGATGATACCTTAGTGGAATGAAAATATTGGGCCTACAATACAACCATGACATCAGCAAAATTCCACTGCACCTGTATAGTGACACATCCTTGGCCTCAAATCTGACTGACAAAAAATCATTTACCAGCCTGATTGTTCAAACCTATGGACTCACTGATATATGACACTCCATGATACAATCTACTATTACCTTCTTAATAATACATGTAGAATATATCATGCTTACCTTTAGCACCCAACAATGTATTTGGTTATGATGTAGACTTGCACACATGGGTGTGAAGACTGTACCAATAATATACTGCAACAATACTGCTGCAATAAAATTGACTGAAAATGCCGGCATATTGGATTAGACAAAGCATAACAATATACCACATTACTATATGAGGTAACTGCAAGAAAATAGAGATATTAAAATAGTATTGGTAGAGACTAAAGATAATATGGCAGATATATGTACAAAGAGTTTGATTTAGGTGTTATTTAAAAAGTTTCAGGTTATGTTAGGAATGGAACCTTAGGGGATGTGTTGGAAAAATTTGTGATTTCTTTCTTATTTGGTGATGAGGCTGTGTTGGTCATGTGAGACAACAACATGACGGTGTATTATACTAGTGTATTATAATATCTGCTTTAGGTTTCTTTAGTATGGGGCAGTGCTCATGTAATGATGAAGTGTATATAAAGAGATAGTTTCCACCTTCTTGTCAGACAGAGCACACAAGCTTGGATAATTTATACAATATTTCTCACACGAGGATTCAAGTATTCGCTTAGGGTGGGAGAGGGATTTTGAATTCATTCACTCAGTATCATACTTTGCAGCACAATACCGTACCAGTGCCATAGTCGGGACATGGGGTTTAGTGCAATCCCGGGCAATCGACCTCTCATTATCATCAAACATAGCCACCCTAAAACAAAGTCCGTTAATCCATCGTAGGCGGAAATTATCCCAAAATCACACCTCAATCATAAAATAACTGTGCTTTCTCCTTCTGCACTGCCACCCCCCATCCCAGTAGCTCCCCTCAGAGCCGCAATTCAACCTGGTGCAGGACATCCTATACCGTTCGAGTGACAACCCGTGAATCCTTCTCTCTGCCAAACCCGACGTATCCAACTTACCAAACAAAAAAGCAAGCAGAGGAAGAAAGAACCCAAGAACCCACCGTACTCAACATCAACACAAAAAGGGGGGCAATACTGTACATACCAGAACATCATCTGGGTTTACTAAGGTACAATGAATAAGATGAATCTCTGTCGGACAGAGAGACCTAGACTGGCACTGGGACTACCCGGCACACCCTCACAACCTCTATGGAAACCCGAGTACGCCCTGCGTCCTCTTGTAATGACAGATACGTCAGCTATCGTACCAGAGCGGTCCGGCCAGTGCCCAATAATTATTTATTGGCCGGGGGGTTCCCGGTGGCATTGCTTTGTCGGTACACGATAGGCTGTGGCAGGGGTTTTTTTTGTTTGTGTTTTCTTAGCCTCCAATCGTGCTTTATACTCGCTTCGCTTTCACTTTCACTTTCGTTGACATGACATTGTATCGGTAGTTTACTCGTACACCTTCCACCCCCGGACTGTATTGTGTTCCGCAGGGGTTTCTTTTCTTTTCTTTTTCCTTTTTCCTTTTTTGCGCTTTTGCAGACACTGCCTCACCATAGGTTAGTTAGTCAGTCATGTGGAGTCACTCGCTGAGGTGGGATTTTTTGGGGGAGGGGGGTGGCATTTTTTTATGAGGCTTTGTGGGGCGTCAAAATTGATGGAATCACGAGCAGTCACCATGTTTTTCCTTTCTGAGGGTGAGTAAGCGAGTGAGCACGGGTAGACTATTTGCTCCGTTTCACAGTTACGATAAATAAGTTTAAGGCTGGTTTGTTTGTCGGATTAAGGGTTCGTCCGTCCGTTTGTAGATTAGGTACGAGCGCTACAGGTGAGGTGTGGGCACAGTAAGCGTGATGTGAGCCCGGTACTGTGGGTGGATTAGAGGGTGGTTTGGGAGGTCTACAATACGTACCCGTCGTATAATACAAGTATTGTCCTGGGGTAAGGTAAGGTGCGCAATTGTTTGCCAAGCTGGCTTAGACGCTGGGACTTTTGGGTTCTTGGGTATGATAGTGCTAGGTGTCCAGTGTGTGGAGGGGAGAGGGAAAATTCCTTGCCTTGTGCACAGAGCGGAGACCAAAGAATAATGCTGAACAATCTATCGTGAACCCCTCGGATCTAAGTTACAAAGAACATGTCTCGATCGAGCCCAGAAACTAAAGGCACTCCTTGGACAGAAGCAAGAGGACAGGAGGAGGGGAGGGGGAAGGGGAAGGAGAAAAAATTAAAAAAGAGAAAAGAGAAGATAGGAAAGAAAGGAAAAGAAAGAACCAATTACTCGAGTAGGAGGGTAAATTTACATACCGCCTTTCCCCCCTTTTCGCTCTCTTCAACCATAATCAACACCCACCACCACCACCGAGTTGCCGAAAAGTGAAACAAGTAGAGGGAAAGGAAAGGAAAAAATGGAAAAGGTAAAAAATAAAAGGCTTTTGTTTACTGTAATCCCAGAAATGGTCAAACAAAAAATTAGAAGATTCTGGGCGCAATTGTTCTCTACAACTATCACTACTAGTACTGGTACTACGGTTTGTGCACCCGCAGGCTCTGGAGTCTGGCTTCCGCAGCGATAACCTATCCAAACATCATTAGTATAGTCCTCGTGAGCGTTAGAAAGTCATAAGTTATGTCACATACCCCAACGGCCTGCTGGACTTCCAAAAGCAATCTCGCCTCCTTGAGCCAATCTTTGGCCAGCACCCTCGCCCACCCACTAAGCTGGTTCATTTCTCTAGCAGCATTGTCGATGTCCCCCTCCTCGAGATAGGTCTCGGTTCTAGTCAAGATACTCTCCACGTCATCCCCCTGGGCAAGCCCCTTCTTCCGAAAGAGAACCTTGCTCAAAACCCAACTGGCAGCATGACCGGCAACTCCAGCATCTTCTGGAAGCAGAGAGGCCTTTCGAACTTCATCAGAAACACGACGGAAACGATCGATCAGCTGAGTGGGAGTTGAGACGCCCTTCTGGTATGCAAGAGGGTTGATGGAAGCAATGGCTGCCCGAACAACCTCGTCATCATCTGCCACTTCCTTCAAGGCAGCCAGTTCCCGTAGGAAAGGCTTTGGCTGTTCAGGGGATTCGTATGCTGCCCTGACAGCTTCTAGTGCCACATGCATCTGTTGGGCCTTCAGGTTGGCATCAAGGATGTCTGTCCAAGCGGTCGAGAGCTTGGTCAATTCCTCAATGAATCCGCTGAGCTCCTTCAATTTCCCAAGTCGTCCGTTACGCTCACTCTCGACCCGGCCTTCAATCTCCCGAATCCATTTTTTCTTCATCGCAATGGCTTGTTCAAGCAACTCGTTACGAAGGCGGTGTTCAGCTACTTCACCGGAGCGCTGAAGCTCTGTGTGAAGCTTCTCCCGGTATGATTGAGCCATTTTGTCGCGCTCATTCTCAAACTCTTCTCTCCACTTATGCTCAATATTTGTGATTTCATTGTCCACATTCTTGAGCAAACCTTGGGCGGCGGTGGTAAATTCTAAGTCCTTCTCCTTTACCGTCCTCTCCAAGCCTTGCTTTATGGATGCAATCTGCGAATTCAAGTGTGAAAGCTCTGACTTGGCCGTAGCAATAACCGAGTCGAACACATTAGGGGATTCGCTCTTGTTCACAAGAGCAATGATGGAATTGACCACTTTGGCTAAATCGCGCACAACAGGATCCTCTACATCTTTCATGTCAATCAGAGCTATCTGTACTGTTGGGGTTTTTGGCTTTCCTGGTTTTTCAACAACCCCGACCTTGGCGGCACCAATTCCCGAACTAACCGATGCATCTATTGCACTGGCCCTCTCTTTCTCTTGTTCTACTGTGCCTCTGGAAGAAATGTGAGGCCCATGTTTACCCACATCTGTCACTTTCTTGTCTCCGGCAGGCTCAAAAACCTTCCATGTTGCGCCAGAAGCCTTGGGAATAACAACCTTCGGGGAGTCTATAGGTGGCGGAGCAACACGAGAAAGTGCGTTCGGGAATCTCCGGCGGAATTCGCGCTCTTCAAAATAAAGAACCGCTTCTTCCCCAAATGGAATGTACTCGGTGAAAAAGTCATGAAAGTTATCAGATTTTAAAGAGTAGAAAACTCCACCGGCGAAAGATAACCCCGTAAGGAATGCCAATCCAACGACAAAATTCCGGAACCGGTGGGTCTTCTTAGGCTGCTTTGGTAAAGTCACAGGAGAGGATACTGGTGATGGGGGCAGCGGAGGAGCAGAAGATCCGGTACTTGCTGTAGCCGGAGGAGGAACTTTAGGCGTTGGTATCGGCGGGGACGTCTGTGCTTTTGTGGGAGAGGGTGTAGTAAGTGGTATTTGAGTGGGTGGAGTACTTGATGGAGTTATGGGAATTGTGGTTATCTTCAGTGCGGGAGATACAGATGAAGCTGCTGCTGCAGGAGGCTTTGCGGGAGTCGCTGGACTTGCCCGGTCGGGAAGGACCGGGGGGCTGGCATCCCCGATACTCCATTCAGCTTTTGTACTAGGCCGAGGAATCTTTGTATTCGCTAGAAATCTCTAGATAAAAGATGCACATTGTGCGGTTGCGATTAGCGAAAGATTCGTTAAACAATTTACTAGTGCTGTCTCCCCGCAAGGGAACCCAACGAAAGTAGAACGTCTGTTGAGAGAAATGAATAGATACCTGTTGCTGGTGCTGTGTTTGTTGAAGCTTCAACCAATGATGTTGATGTCGGCTGACGATGGAACGTCTTGAAGGGCTAATCACTCTGGCCGAAGCGGGCGAGGAAAAGCGCAGCATTCTGAATTGACGAGATGCTCTTTGATCGAAACTGTGATGTTAGTGTGATGAGGAAGAGGGAGAGGTGGGGTGCGACGATCGAAAATAAAAAAGGATCAAGGGGGGGACTGGGGTTGGAGGGAGGCGGAGGTGGCGATTGGTTGCAATAAATGGTTGATTTTCTTGAAGGAGGGTTTCGCGATGGTGCCGAGACAATCTGCTAGTCCTTCCGGCGTACGAGTACTTTCCTCGCGATAGGAATTTCTTAATCGATTTTTTTGTCACCCCCGAGGATCCCCCTCCGGGCCCACCCTTTATGCCCTTCATAATCAAAATTTACTTAGTCCATAGTCTATGGGAATCCCTCACCCATTTACAAAGAACGAAACGAAAAGGAAAAGGAAAGAAAAAGCCTTCGCATACAGGCACACAGAACAGCTGGTGTAGCCAAGCCACCATTCCTTCTTCCTCCCGAGCCACAAATACTGGTCCTGCATTCACACTCACAGCACCTACAGTAATGATCCCTTACTGTGACATAATCTCTCATTTTTTTCTAGTAACATCTATACTCTCATAAATCGGATGATACTTCATTGAAAATAAAAATAAAAATAAAAGCGAAGGGAAGGAAAGACCCTTAACTCAAACATCTTCAGCAGAAGCCTCACTGACGATTCTGGTAGGGATGTCAAAAACTCTATTATGGTGAAAAACTGTAACAAAACATAGAAGAACCGTTAGAAACAGTGCCAGTCGTATAGTGGCAAAAAGAACTGGAAGGCGTACCCAAGAGCACGAGAAGGAAACCCCAGAGCACTACCATTTATGATTTTCGAGATAGCTTTGTGAGAGATAATGTAGCAAGATTGCGGCCCACAATCCACCATATTGAAGCAAAAAAGTAGAAATCCGTGCGATGGGATTCTGGTCAGGGCGCCTGGACTTGCATCAACACTCGAATAGCGAGAGGGGGGACGGGGTGTGCGCAATGAAGATAAAAAAGAGTAAAAAACAGCATTGCGTATCTCCCCTCAAACTGTCACAGCCATTGCCGTTCCAAGATGTCATTACTACAATCCTTCGTTTACCGGCCACAGTATAGGATCCCACACAGGTCCACCAATATAAAAGATGACTACCAAACAGAGAGACTAGGCAAACAGGAAAAAGAGAGAAAAAATCACAAAAGAACACCATTGATCCCATCCATGTACACATGACCCTGGGGTCACTCAGCAATTACACCCCTGTTGTGCTGCATTCGCACCACTCAAGTTGACGCCTCGACCACCAGCAGCACCGGTTCTTGTTGTGCCCCTAGGCCCTTGTTGGTCCAACGGCAGCTTCTTTGCGATAGCAGTAAAGAGTTCCTTGACGTTTTCGGCGGTCTTTGCTGAGGTCTCAAAGAAGAGGAGGCCAGCTTCCCGCGCATACGCTTCAGCCTCAGCAGTTTCAACAGCTCGTTTCGAAGGAGAACCTGTTGGCAGCGCAAGATCAAGCTTGTTACCAGCCAACGCAATAACAATATTCTCATTTGCCTGACGTTGGAGTTCCTTGACCCACGCCTTGGCTTTATCTAGCGAAGACTAAAGTAGGGTCAGCTCGTGTTACGGGGGGGGGGGCATGCATTGAGAGTTGGAAAAAGGAATTTAGGCAACTAACAGCCTGAGTAATGTCGTAGACCACGACAGCGCAATTGGCATTACGGTAATACATGGGCGCCAATGACTTATAGCGTTCCTGACCAGCGGTGTCCCTGGAAAGAAAAATCTGGAAGTTAGATCAGAGCACTACGAGACTGTAACGCATATCGAGTAGGATAGCGGAGAGCTACCATATTTCAAATTTGATGGTAGTGGTTTCATCCAGAGCTATGGTCTGTGTAAGGAATGCAGCACCAATTGTGCTTTCCCGATAATCATCGAATTGATCCTATTGAAATATCTACATCAGCAAGGTAATTGCACAAGTGAAATCCTCTTCCCTTGCCCACCACGGAAGGCGGTGTAGCTCCAGAGGACTTACTTTAACAAACCGAAGTACCAAAGAGCTCTAAATGTTTGGTTAGATAAGCAAAGACCACATTTGGGTGGCGGAATGAATACCAACCTTGCCAACAGCAGATTCGCCTGTTTCGGTCAGACAAAAACGGAAAATTAGAGAGTAGCTAAGAAAAGTGATGGGAAAATAAATTTCGACAAAGAGAACAGTGAGGGGGGGTGCTCAAACCATACCTAGAAGGACAAGCTTAAACTGGGCAAAGCGTTGAGACTGGGTAGAAGCACGTGCATGAGACATGGCAGATTCGGACAGACTGATTTTGGAATATCAAGGTAAAGTGTATGGAGGGAAAGTTGAAGGAGGGGAAGGAGTTGACGGAGAGTAAAGACCGAGACTAAAGGAGAGGTGGCTGAGGGAGAGTTGGTGGGTGTTGACGAAGGCGATACAATGGAATGAGACAAACGGCCGGGTTTCCCGTCGGTAGGGTAACGGGGGAAGAGTGAAATAGCAATGATTTGCGTTGTGGTTTGTGTTCTCTTTCTCTTTCGTAGTTGTATTTTGAGGTTTGAGGTTTGTCGGCTGGTGAAGGTTGTGGATGGAAGAAGTGGTAGATTGAGGTGAGGAATCGTTATTTCACCGCTTAAGGGTACTTTTGAGTTGAGGTGACGAAGGAAAGGAGGAAGACGACGACAAGCCACTGCTAGCGAGGGATGAATAAAGTTAGATCATCGCTATAAGTAGGAAGATACACACACGGGAGCGATGGGAGTTTCCATTTTACCCATTTCTTGGCCTTCTCATCTCAGGCCGGCTGGAGCCTCTGGAGGCCTAGCAGCTATCTACTTGACCATTCATAAAATATTCGGATGCCTTGGCGCCAAGGTATATCAACGGGCACCCAAGCATGGAATCTTGGCGCCAAGTCATCCGAATACTTTATGAATGGTCAAGTACCGTACTCGAGCTGGGTGAATGTGCTGCTCGAGTACCTGTACGAGTACAGTACAAGTACATTCCTGCTCTTACTACCTTTGGACAGATATCACCATATAGGGTCGTGCTCGCGCATCAATATCCGCTTCCGGTAAGGTTGATTGGGTTAAAGCTGTCCCGAACGAGTCGCGCTTTTTATGGATCCCTGACTGAGAGTGGGGGCCTCAAGTTAGTGATTAATGACAACAATACTACCGGTGCTCGAGTACCGTATTGCTGCTGCATAACTAAATTTATAAGCGATTTGTCCCTTGGACTATTAGCACTACGGCACTCGCGTACTATGCTCGTACCGGTGCTGTACTCGTACCTTTTTGATTGACTCCGTCCCCCTCCCCGCCTCGTAACAAACAAACCACCTTTACTCTCCTTGACACCCTCCCCCCTCTTACAACAAAGCTCTGCCTCCCTTCTGTAGAACAAACTCCCGCTTTTAGCCATGGCTTCCTCCATCGAGGGAACTGCTCAGATACAACCAAGCAAGGCTCTAGGATTTCTTGGTATACCCCTAGCAGTTCTTCAATAGCGTTATTTCGAGCTTCCCAGCTAACTTCCTCTGGGTTGATAGTTCTTGGTTCTTCTGTATACGATGTTCTTAGTCGTCTCCGTGCTCAACACCGCATATTTCCCTCCATCTCGGTAATCTATGACTCTGCTGCACCGTTAGCTTCTCCGATCGTACTCATGCTTGATTCCAACGGTCTACGTCTTCGTTTCGATGGGCCAGACCAACGCCTCCGGCTCATCGAAGTGCTAGACTTTCAGAAATCCAGATTGTCCTATAATAGCGGTGAACTGACCAGGCCTGGAATAGGGGCGGGGGGTCCTACTTTTCGGAGCATTTACAATAAGCTTTTTGGACCCACATATCCAGGAGAATACATGGAGGGCGAGGGTGTTTATGTGCTATCGTATCCTGGAGTTGCGTTCTCATTCCCAATCGGTAGGGAAGCCTGGAAGGAAGGTGCGGATTTCGTATCTGTGCTCTCCTCACCAGACGCCCAGCCTGCCAGCAGTATGGCTATTTTTGCTGGTTCGTCCTGGCTAGAGGCACGAACTGGCTTATTCACCCGACCGGTACAGAACCCAAGATCACCTCTTGTGAGTGGAGCCAGTGCTAGGTTGTCTTCTGCGAATGATGAAGTGGAGTTTATCAAGTTTCGTGATGAAAATAAGGTGGAAATAACTCGCCGGCATAACCAACCGTTTTGGATTACATTGCACTCGACCACCCCTCAAGACCTTATCACAGAGCTAGGTCCTCCAAGCGCAATATACCGGAAGCACGATCACAGGCTATCCATTCACAGAACTAGATCACTATCCGGGGGCGTAAGTGGAAGAGGCCACCAAGATGATACGGATGATACGGAGCCAGAAGACGCTCAATCTGACGACGAGGAAGATGTGTCCGATGTCTCCGCGACATCAAACAGCGATTACTTCTACAACTACTTCCACCACGGAATGGATATATTCATATCTGCAACCCGCTCATCTTCGCACCCAGTAGCTACCAAAATCATCATCCACGGAAACGTACCCGGGAGTTTCGAGTTTCAAGGATACCGACGAGCCCGTTGGAGCATAGAGCTCGCGGCAAGCTCCAAGATGGCAAAGGAGCTACGGCTGCACAGTGAGATGGGATTCGATGAGGCGCTGCCCCTATTGCGCGAAAAATTCGGAGAAGGGCAGAGACCTATGCCCTTGAACCGGGGGAGTGATTCGCCGAGTAGTAGTTGTGAACTATTGGGTGGATGGGAAGATAATGAAAGCGCAGCTGATAAGGTTGATGTCAAGGGTGGACCTGGTGGAAGTGAAAGCACATTTGGTAATACAGGTATGTTTTGTCGTTTAATTCCATTAAACAATTCTAAGAAATTAATAATCTTAAATAGAACTATACGGGTTTCCTGGATTCATATTTGAAGTCCTGAGGAATAAAGCGATATCATCTCTGACGGTATTCTAAGCAAGTTGTGATTGCCTTGTGTCGAGCGCGGTCATTGCCGGGGGTTGCTAGCCCTGTGAGATGTTTATTTCTAATCTATATCCTGACCCCCCCCCCACGCATTCATTATTTTCTCCTGTTTTAACCGTTGTATTATTTTCTGCTTTTTGGTCATTGGCGCAAGGATGGGGCATTCTGATTTTTATCCTTTTATCCGACCGAGGGCCCGACAGATTGTGTAATGCGTTTTACGATGTGAGATTTATGTTGTTGAATCTGCCTCGCATTTTCTATCCTGATTTCTCAAGTTATCATCTCATTGTGGGATATATTTCATAAGGAAGAAAAACTGCCATGTGCTAAACACTATAAACCCTGCAAACAACGACACACTGCGCTCATTGCAGTTTGGGAAAATAACTATCCATCCCTCCATGTTTAGACCCTGGCCTCCCCGGTCGCGCCTTGGCATCCTTCTTCCTCTCGGGCTCCTTTACCAGTCTCACGCCAGCAGATTCCTGAACAACCTCGCGAATGGTCTCCCGCGAGAGACAAAAGTCCACATGTTCATTGAAAACTGCATCATCGGCCGGCAGCGACCTTGCACAAATTGGACACTCCCATCTCTCCTTTAACACCATCTTCGGGGGTGGTGATGGGTCCTGCGGAGTATCCCTGGCGGGCATGTTTAAGGAAGCGTTTAAAGCCTCTTCTATCGCGAGTTGTTCCTCATCCTGGACTTCCTGAGATAAGTGCCCGCTCGATAGTAGCCCGTCGAGTGATCCTTCAGGCCAGGCTTCCCATTCGGCTTCCCCTTCTATCTGCGTGTTGGAACGTTGGAATTTTGTTGGTGGGCTTTCTTCTTGCCCGTGCTTATGTTCTTGCTCGGGGCGCTTCCGCTTCACCGACTGGGGAAGGTTCTTAAAAAAGTTCATCTTCCCAGTGCCCTTCCTAGTACTAGACAACTGCGTCACGCGCAGGCCCATTAATCTGATTTTGAACGGCTGGAATTCACCCTCGAGCTCCTGTAGCAGTGGCAATGCATGGTTATACAAATCCTCCGCGGAAGAGATCACGCGATGTAGCGCCTTCTGGCGGGAGTGCACCTGATAGGTGTGCAGCTTAACTTTAACAGTGATAGTACGTCCGGCGAGGTTCGCCGCGAGGAGGTCCCTTTCCAGCTCCTGTGCCGTCGAGCGGAGTTTGTCGCGCAGCGGCCCGGGACCAGAAAGGTCCTTGAAGGTGCTCTCGGTGCCCAGACTCTTGCGCTCGTATTCTGCCACCGGGTGGATGCAGGTCCTGCCGAGGCCGAGATAGGAATTCAGTAGGAATGACCACGCCTTCTTGCTAAAGAGCTTGCTGAGGATGCCACGCAGGGCGAAGACGTCGCCCCAGGTCCTTACGCCCACGGCATCGAGCTCGCGCTCGAATACGCGGCCGACCCCGTTGACTCTGCGCACGGGGAGGGTGCGCATGAAGTGCATTACTGCCTCGCGGTCATTGGGGATGCGCTAGTTTGGTAAGTTAGGTTGCCGGTAAGGGGTTAGAGGGGGCAGCGATAGTTACAAATTGGCCGTTTGGCTTGTTTTGGTTTGAGGCGACTTTTGCTAGCTATTAACATTTTCTGGTTAAGTCTTTTTTTTCTGGTAAGTGTCATAGGAGGAGGAGCGGAGAATACCCTTGCATTTGGCGCAATACCAGCAGAGACACTAATTTTAGTGTGTTCGAGAACTTCGCGGCGGAGCTGTTCGACGACTTTATCGGGGGTCGTGTCTCTATGGTCTTCTAGATACTGCAGTGGGGTTTGAGAATCGATTGTATCATAAAGGCGGAATGAAAAAGCACCGGCAGCAAGACGTACTCCTGTAATGTTCAAAAAGGCCTCATCTACACTCGCCGCCTCATACCTACCGTCGTACTTGACTAGGATCTCACGGATTTCTTCGGCCTTTGCAGTATACTTGTGAAAGCTCAAGGGTAGGAAAACTAGCTGCGGGCAGAGTTCTAAAAAGGGTCAAGACACCAAGCTTTATGAGGGTTGGAAGGGCAGCGCTTACGTTTCGCAATATACCCCGCCATTCCGCTCCGTACGCCAAACCCACGAGCTTTGTAGTTACATGTTGTTAGGACTCCACCGCCTACCGCCATCGGAACTGGGCTCTGTCAGCCTTAGACCTCGCAGCGAATACCTGCACAGTAGGAGGCCATCTACCTTCCTTAAGCTCCGGTCGATCAAGTTCTTCAACTGATGCATAGAAAGCATCGCAATCGACATGTACAATGATCTGGGAAAGGTCTCGAGAGGCCTCCGAAGCAGCGATCTGGGTAAGTCAGAAACCGAATTGTAAGGGTCTGTTTGGATGCAATCCTCCCATTCCGCCGCCCCACACAAAGTGACCGATTTCGTTTGACGGTTGCAAAACAGAGCGGAACGATTGTACCCAAACAGACTCCAAGTCATTGGGAGCCGGTTTATTATTTCCGTTACCACACCTCTTCGTCCACCCTCCTTATTTGCGAGGATAAGTCCAAAGACTCTAGATGTTTTTTCCGCCGCTGGATGATCTCAATACGTTTTGTAAGCTGTGATAGCAGGACCTAGTTAACTAAGAGGATCCGGGGAAGGCTGCATGGTAAAGACGTACCTGCTGATCCCTCCTCTCCTCATGCTTGAAAAATTTCGACCCCTTCGAAGCGTTATATATGATTTCTCCAACCTTCTTTTGATCGACTTTGTCCTGTCCAGCTTTGAGCAGTGACGGTCCGAGTAGAGAATGTCGAAGAGAAGCACGGTCACCTCCCTCTATTTCTGGTGTTAGTTTACTATCCTCGGATGCCATATTGAAGACAATATATATCTCTGGCACCGTTTGCCGGAAGGAGAGGGCGGAGGCGCTAGAAATGAACCTGCAATTTCAGAATGTCGTAGAGGTCAACAAGCGAAAGTGGGGAATTAGGAGAAGCGGTGGGACGCGTTCGTTCAATTTCGCAGGTGGAGACGCGCGCGAAATTAGCTGTGAAATTTAGTACGGTAATGTCAACAGCCCTTGGACCAATGTCCCAGATATTGCTTTAGTAAGGGTGGATTGAGGTACCGTATCATAGATTACCATCAAATCTCTTGTGATTAGTTGTCTCCGGACGAGGTCAATTCTCTGGAGCGGGATACGCACAATGTGACTAACTCCATTGAGCCGTTTTGTGTGACACAGAGTTTAGGTTTCGTATCCTAGTAACATATAACTAGGATCATAGACTTCCCAAAATACGATGCTCCGCGCCCTCTATTTTCCTTTCCCTTCATTCTACATCTGCACTCAACACCATTAGCATCAGGTGAAATACCCCTTGCCTCTCAAGATCCCCCTCACCTTGCGCCTTAGGACCTCTTCTCCTAGCATTGATGATCGACCCCACCACCACATCCTGTGCTAGTACTCCAGTTCTTCATCATCGTATTCCCTTCTATCCTCCCTCATGCTTGTCTTGAGCAGCCCTGATTGTTCCCATCCACCGCTACCAGTCTAATCTCATTTTGTCCACCAGAGGACTGCTGGAATGGCCTCATGAGCATTTCCCCACTCTCTCCCACAGCCATCTCTCCAATCTCTCCACTGGGGAATGCTACCTCCACTTCCTTGTCTGCTTCCTCATTCATTGCTAGACTTCCCCCTCCAACACTGTAACCGAAATCACTACCTAGATACATGACCTCTTGTCACAGGTCGCCAACATACTCCCTCCACTGAGCATTCCCAGCAACACTATCAACATTCCGGCAAGTTCTATCACCTTCCTCTAGGCCACTATAAGGAATCTCATCAATAGAATCTGAGTACCTTCCCACTATTCACCCTAGCTACTTGTATTGGCTCCCACTATTACCCTCCCCTGACCTTCACAAAAGAGCAAGGAATCTGTAGACCCTGATTCAGCCTCAACACCCTTGTTCTTTCCTCCAGCTATCTAGCTGAATACAATAGAAACTTTCCTATGTATGACAACTGAATAGGCAAATACCAAGGAAATCCTACGGCTTTTGCTACTAAGTATCCCAGAACATGGGAGGCACAGTAGTGGAGAGATGGGAAATACTCTGATCCCGCCAAGTTCCTTCCTAAAATCACTGACTCTGACAGCCCTGTTAGGTGGGAACAATCTGATAGACAGCAGAGTTGTTTAGGCAAACTAAGATTCGTTTCTGTAGAAGGAAATTGTGGAGGAAGGCACAGATTACACTTGTTTTGATTATGACTACTAAGAGCGAAGTAAAGTAGGTAAAGTAGAATAGAATCGAGAAGACAATATTATATTGTTAATGTCTCTTCACCATTACTTGATGATATCTAAAAGTTGGGAAGCACTTTAATATTTATGTTCTTCGTCAGAGTGTTCATAGACTACATCTATCTATTATACAGCTATGTACCTCTGTGATTATAACTGGAGATGTTGGGTATTCTTTAAGTTACGAACACCAAGAGATACTGAAAATCACCATATCCTCTTCGGTAATTGCAATATAGCTAACTGGAAATCATGCTGTTCCTAATAGTAATTATTCGCTTATTAGAGTCTTTGGACTTGTGGACTAGTTCTTAAGTCGAACTGAGTTGGCCCCAATTGTCTCCATCATTGATGAAATAATCAGTTTCATCTGCAGATTGTATCTGTGGAAGTAGTTGTAATTACAACCTTTCTAGGTCACCTGACTTCAACCCTTTATAACTCCCTACCTAACCAACAGATATCTTATACAGGACTTTCTACTAATTCGTAGCAAGCTTTTCCATCTGATTGACAGATAATCTCTCAGTCAGCAGCTCTTAGTTGCTTTGTGTAACCGGGTTTCTATCACCATTCTAGTATCGAAGGTCTTTAGCCCAGCTACAACATATTTCAAAACCTAGTTGTAATACTCTGTGAAGTCCTTTCGCTTATATGATAGTGTTCCTTGGAGTTCTAGACTCTTCTGTTATTGTAGGGAGGGTGCGAATGTAGTGGTTTCTTGTTGAGATCCTTTGTCTTTTGATACTATCTCCTCGTGCGAAAACATCTTGTTACCTATAGGCTGTGCCAAAAATGTCACATATTTCAAGCCTAGAGACCCCTTGGGTCATGGGCAGATTTACTCTGTTCCACTTCCCAGAGCTAGCCGCATGCCCTCCCTCGTATATCCTCTGAACAGGATCTGGCTGGACAGAGGGCAGCGAGGTATAGGGTATTATTCTTACATCTTCGATTGTGTGGCATTATAGTCATTGGACCCAACTGAGGTTAATATGTATCTTGACATGCAGGCCCTATAAGGGGGCCGCAGGTGGGTGTTGGAAGCCATAGATTCTAATTCCGAGAGGGGTTACCCTACTTAGGATAGTTCCTAGGTATCAGATCTTGGTATTCCTAACCAGCGCCCACTCTTGACCCCTAAAACCATCCTACTTAGGTGTTCCTGCCTCTGCCTCCCCAAAGGGTGGGAGAAAGTAAGGGACCTTGTCTTTTTTTGTAGTACAAGTTGCAAAGTCAGCCCCTGGGGCTGCGGGTCCTCCCATCCCTCTGCCATTTGCACATGCTGAAACCTGGTTTTTAACTACGTGATTATCCCCTACCTTCCAGTCTCTGAGAGGAGACATTGCAGCATTCTTCTCTATATTGGTACAGCGAGTTTTAAACAAGCCAACTGCCTCTTCTCCAATGTCTTCACAGCAAAGGTTAATAATAATGGTACTGTTATCCTCCTTGCCCTTAACCTGAACACCTCCACTCAGGTATATGACTTGGACTATGAGGCACATCAGCAAAAGTTTACACTGTGTCAGGTGTGTTAGCCTGGCATCCTGACCCATGTTGCGTACCATCCACGTGCCCTACGTCCTGAGTGCATGGAGTTGCGTCACAACACCCCGTGTATCATATGCATCCCATGTTGCCACCATCTGTTTCTTTATGCCCAGTGCCTCTGGGCCCTCACTACCAAGTAGCTCGGATGTCCTGATGATGTCCTGTGTGCCCCCTGCTGTTATACGCTATCATGGTAGAACCCCCTGCACGTTGCCCAGTACTTAAGTTCTGACGCTTTGCTTGTGTCCTTTACTCTCTTAAGGATGCTGTACATCGCTACCCTTGGTTGCACTGCGTCTTGTTTCCCAGGAATGTTCTCTGACGCCATTCGAAGTACCCGCGAACTCCATTTCCCGCTCTCTACGTAACTATTTCGATCTCCCCTCTCAATTATGTCCTGATGTCTCATTGTTGTTCCCACATTGCCATGAGGTCACAACAAGGCGATACCAATTCGCGTTCATCTGCCAGCGGTTTCTCTATTACGTTTTCTCAACATCTGATTTCCATCCCATGAGAGGTTGTGCATCCTTTACTACTGATGGCCACCTGGATATCCCTGGGCCCTAGTATTTACATTGGCACTCATTGTTCTTAATATCATTACTTCTCTAATTCTCTAGTTAAAATCTTGATCCCGTATACTTTAGTTTAAATATTACTTTTCTACTATTTCTACATAATCCCACAGCCCTACGCGCCCAGTACCCTATGTTATCTTTATCCCGGCCCTTTCTTGGTATCGAGATATAAGGAATTCTAATGCCGACGTAATTGCGAAACTTTTGTCTAATACTGGTACTCGATATTGGAGCAGTGACATTGGGCAAAACCTTCTCTGTTTTTACTTACACGCTTGAAATGTCTTCACAGATTAACCATGGTGCCCAGAGTGCAACATTCCTGTTCGTCGAGGCGGTGCAGTATGACTTGGTGCTTTTTCAATAGATCTCATTGAATGTCCTTAAATCTATCTAATTGTTGACAAGCTATCGCCTGTCCACCTCAGGGATTAGGTGGGCCAGGCCTATGATAGTGCCAATGTCCCCTACCGTAAACCTCTGCAGATTCAGCATCTTTAGCAGCTTTACAGTGACAAGATCATGTAACTCTGATGGGTGTTCAGAGTTCAGTGCATTCAACACCTGAACACCTGCCAGCTGGTTGACTGTATCTTGGCGCTGGTTATCGTAGAGCTTGAAGAGTACAATGAGTTTCCTGGGCAGACAGCCCTGTAGTGCACCATACATTTGCTCCCTACCAATGTGTATCCAAACTCAATTGTTACGACTTGCTCGGTTTCACAAGAGCTCGTTGCCCATACATTGCACCCGGTGGATGTCGAAAACATTGGTTTCCTGGAACACGAGAACTGGGATTTCTAGTTGTGTCAATAGTTCAATAGGGAGGCATTGAAGTATTCCTGGATCTTCATGCAAGTGGGGCTCAAGGGGTAGGCTCTGCCAGCTAAATGAAACCAATTCAACAAATATATTATCGCTCGAGATGCCCAAGGCTTTGCACGAATCACTGAGGTGGGTAATATCTCTACTATGCCCCTTGAGGGCCTGACAGCGTGTCAGTTACGGGGATTTTGTACTCATTTTGTTCAAGAGATGTATGACGTCGGCAGGAATATCAGCTCTGGAAGGTCACAGAGCTTAGAGATTCAAAAGTCTCATTCGGATCACATAGTATCAACCATAACTCTGGTGGATCTGCCGCGTAGTATCATTTTTATTCGAACGTGGTCATCTATCTTTTATCTGCCCCTTATGTGCTAACTCGCCCAACTCAGTAGAATACTGCGGAATATTGTCAAACTGGTACCCATGGTCAGGAAAGTGACGAACGAGATGCATCTTAAGGAAGTTGAAATGAGACTCCACTGGTATCAATTCCATGCATTGGTCGTTTACTTCTTCCCGATGCTGCTCCTGCACACTGGACCGCTTGGATCTAGCCACAGTTTGATCTACCAGTGTTCTCCGATATCGTAACTCTGTTTGCTGGTCTTGAATCTTTGCCTGTGTCCGTTCAGACATTCTAAACTCCAAGAAGATATCCTTCATTGAGTGAAACAGATTAAGATATCGATCCTATAATCAACTGTCTCACGCATATGGCTCCAGTATTGTGCCATCAGATGCAAATAGAGTACTGAATGGATACAGGTAAGTGCTTGTTTGAA